GGCTCCTCTCGACATGGATGAGCAGCAGGTCTACTCCGAGCCCCTCCCGGATGACCGAATGGCTTCTCACCCTATCTCCAAGGGAGAGCCCAGCCACTCGTCGGGGAAAAGTCATTTTGGCCGCTTGTATCTGTAATCTCGTTCTTTCAGTCACTACCCAAAGCTCATGACCATAGGTGAGGGTAGGAACGTAGATCGACCGGTAAATCGAGAGCTTTGCCTTCTGACTCAGCTCTCTCTTCACCACGACAGACCGGTACAACACCCGCATCACTGCAGATGCAGCACCGATCCGCCTATCGATCTCACGCTCCAGTTTTCCCTCACTCGTGAACAAGACCCTGAGATGCATAAACTCCTCCACTTGGGGCAGGACCTCATCCCTGACCCGGAGAAGGCATTCTACCCTTTTCCGAATCAAGACCATGGTCTCAGATTTAGAGGAGCTGATTCTCATCCCAGCTGCTTCACACTCGGCTGCGAACCGCTTCAGTGAAAGCTGAAGATCACGTTCTGATGAGGCCAATAGGACCACATCATCTGCAAAAAGCAGAGACCTGATCCTCAGGCCACCAAAACGGATGCCCTCTACACCTTGGCTGCACCTAGAAATCCTGTCCATAAAGGTTATGAACAGAATCGGTGACAAAGGGTAGCCTTGGCGGAGTGCAACTCTCACTGGGAACGAGCCCGACTTACTGCTGGCAATGCGGACCAAGCTCTGACACCGGTCACACAGGGACCTAACAGAGGGCCTGGTACCCCATACTCCCGGAGTACCCCCCACAGGGCCCCCCGAGGGACGCGGTCAAACGCCTTCTCCAAATCCACAAAACACATGTAGACTGGTTGGGCAAATTCCCACGCACCCTCCAGGAACCCCCTAAGGGTATAGAGCTGGTCCAGTGTTCCACGGCCAGGACGAAAACCACATTGCTCCTCCTGAATCTGAGGTTCAACAATCCGACGGACCCTACTCTCCAGAACCCCTGAATAGACCTTACCAGGAAGGCTCAGGAGTGTGATCCCCTGTAGTTGGAACACACCCTGCGGTCCCCCTTTTTAAATAAGGGGATCACCACCCCGGCCTGCCAGTCCAGTGGGACTGCCCATGATGTCCACGCAATATTGCAGAGCCGTGTCAGCCAACACAGCCCCACAACATCCAGAGCCTTAAGGAACTCCGGATGGATCTCATCCACCCCCGGAGCCTTGCCACCGAGGAGCTTTTTAACCACCTCAGTGACCTCAGCACCAGAGATTTGAGAGGCCAACCCAAAGTCCCCAGACTCTGTTTCCTCCCTGGAAGACATGTTGGTGGCATTGAGGAGGTCTTCGAAGTATTCTGCCCACCGATCCACAACGTCCCCACTATAGATAGTGTTGGTAGCGCACTGCTTCCCCCCCCCCCCCCCCCCCCCCCCCCCCCCCCCCCCCGAGGTGCCGGATGGTGG